ATATATATATATATGAGTAGTGATAATTAAATATGGAAACCAAAGTGAGATTCAGAAGGGAAAGATCTCTGTGCCTTCCCTTCAGCATTAGTACAATTCCAATAATGCCATTCTTGGTTGACTCTGGCCAGACTTGCTCCAGCTGAACAGGACCCTAAATGTGATCTTTGATTTAAACCAGAGGTCAGGATGCTGGTGGTCCACAGGCCGCTCTTCTGTTCAGAGATGAGTTTGTCTGGTCTGTGTGAAGCTGTGAATCATTTGCCACCACTTACAACTTGAGAGGTTTTATAAGATTCAGAAACTCCAGCAATGCAGCTTCAGCCGAGGCGCCGATGTCCCATTTCAGGTGGGGCATTTCTCCCCCAGCTTGCCACCACACTGCTGCACTGATCTGTACCTACTCCCTGGACCTTTTACTTTTTTTTTTGAATTTTTCTCCTCAGCTTTCAATGAATACAAATCTCTGGTCCTGAGACTAACCCCGCCTCCCAAAGGTTGTCAACTCATTCCTGAAAGACCCCTGTGGGTTCCTCCACCAAGCTTTTACTCTAGTTGCCACTGGAACTAGCATTTGCAAGGAAAACATCAAATAGCACCTTATCTAGAGCGTACTGTAGACTTTCCCCACTCCTTTGTAAAGGGGCACTGGGGAAAGGCTCACTCACTGCAGATGCACACTTCAAAGCAATGCTGTCCTACTGAGTGGTGCTTCTCTTGGGGCACAGACATCCTTGCCTGAATTTACTGCCCATTGTAGTAACTTCATTGGAAACAAAAGTTTATAGAGGAAAACAAGAGTCAGGAAGAAACGATTTATTCTAATTATTAAATGCAGTAGAAACTTCCCTTGCTTCTATAAAAAACAGAAGCAAAGTCCACAGAATGATGCTGACACTTGTATCTGGCTGGTTTGTTGAAGAAAACACTGGCAAATTTTAGGTTGTCCTTGGGACACAAGAATGGATTTTGCGTTCGAGCCTGGTACAAATAGCATTGCGGAGAATAAAGAGTTGGCTCTCTAGCTTCATAGTTTCCTCCAAACCGTTTAGCTTGACTGCTAGAGAGCTATGTGTTGAAAAAGCAAGCCATGATGGCCATGTTCTGTTCTCTACCTAGCATCTCTTGCTAATATCCAGGCTTTGTTACAATGCAGGGTCTCTTAGATTCTGCCAAAGTCACCTAATTATCCAAGAGGCCATTATATTTTCTATTTCACTCACAAGTTCTTTAAGCCAGAGCTCCAAAGACAGTGTTAAAACAAGGGGAATCCAGAAAGGACGTTTTTATAAACTACATTTCTAAGCTCGGTTTTAACTTCAGGAATAAAAAACTCACACAAAAAGGGATAGAAAATGACCCAAGTCACAGAAAGCTGGGCTATATATGGGAAGTCAGACTGGATTGAGCGTCCCTTTATTCTCTATTTTCCCTCCAATATTTGTCCTTCTTTTCACAGGGCACAGGTATATTCCTGTGTGAAGTCACACAGCTCCACTTCCTCGTAAAGTTCATTGAATTTGTCAGATTTCTGAATTTTCCTTGCTCAGGACTCAAACTTGGGTTTGCTGCGAGTTAAATATGTCTATTTCTAGAAATGGGGCAGCTAGATTATTTGGCTCTTAGCAAATTTTAGAGAATGAAACTAAGTTGTTCTTATGCATGTATAATTTTTAGGCAAGTAGATTCAGTTTGCAACATGAATTCACGACACTAGTCTGAAAGCCTTGTCAGAGAGGTTCTCTCATTGGCATATTAATTCATGCCATTTACATTTTGTTGTCATTTTCCTGTTTTTTCCTCCTTCTTGATGTATCTTTTTTTAAAAAATGAAACATCCCTGAGCAGATACAGTGCAACGTCTGCATTAAGCAGTGATTGTCATTTACAAAGCATGAAGCGAGACACACAAGAATGTGGACACCTTCTTCCAGCGTGCATCTTTCCTTGAATGTGTTGTGAACATTTGTTAGTTTGCAGAAGAGGGAAGGAATTAAGTGCTGAGGTTGTGTGCTAGAAAGAAAATTATTTTTACTAAAAATTTAAAACACCTTGACATGTAGTCACAGGGGATGCTCAAAGGGCAGTTTTTAAGGCTTTGTTAACCTTTAAAAACTTGACTTGAATCTCTTTTAAGGGAAAATTTGGCAACTGCAGCCAAGCTGGAAATTGCTCAACTGAAGTGGCTGAGCAACATAGTAGTTTCCACTGTGTTGCTCTGGTTCAGTTGCTAGCTCTGTTTCCTGTCCCCTAGCTTCAAAAGGTTCATGCAGTGAAATGCTTGCACTAGTGGAAATGACAAATTCAAAGCCAGTACCTCCTAAGGCAAGTGTGGGGAACAATCTTTTTCCTACACTACCCATGGGACAAGGAAGGAAAAAAATTCTCTGCTCCTTCATCAGTTGAGCCAATTTAAAATCTCTAAGGTAAACTGGAGGCCACAGATGATTCCCTTTAGCAACTGAGCAGGAGTTACAGGCTGGCAATGGGAAACACTAGGCCAGCAGAACAATGAAAACAAAGTTTGACATAAGTTCAAAGCTCAAAGGGAAACACCAAGTAGACACATTAAGCATCGCCTATCACAAGCCAATCATAAAACATACATTGCATTTGGAAACAGCTTGGTTTAATTGAGTGCCTTCCATTACCCTGTTTTCCTAGCAATCAGTAAAGTAATCTTTCCATTAGAAGGAAATATGACTCTTGGAATTAATTCTTTATACAAAGAGCTAGCAGGAGTGACATTTACACCAAAAAGGATTGAGTCCCTGTAGCAGCATAATAAGCAGTCTACAGCTGTCTTCTTAGAACCAAAGGTAATTTGGTTCAATGTAGTTAAATTAATTGAATATAACAGTGGTTGAGAAAGAGATTCATTATTTTAAAGCCTTTTTGTTTTTCCCCAGTGGTTTGGAATTCATCAATCATGAGGTGAGTAAAGGCTCCGTTTTGTAAAAGGAAAGATAAATTCTACTGTTTTGATCATCAATCAGGAGTTCTGAGGCATCTTGGAACTGCCTCTCAACCATGAACTTCAGGAGAGCATAGGATATGAAAAAAATAATCAAGGTTGAAATTTAAAAAGCAGGTGTGTGTGTGTGTGTGTGTGTGTGTGTGTGTGTGTGTGTGTGGTGTTTGACAAAGAGAAAATGGCAGGCTTAGCTGGAGGCTGGGTTACAGGGACACAAGTACATAATTTATACACAAACTTCTCCCCTAACTTCCTTTGCATCAGATAATACCAAAGGCATGAGCCTCCAGGAAACAGGCAGAACATAGGCCTTGGAATTTATGCTTTTCTGATGCTTTAATTCACTGGAGAGCTGGTGGAGAAGGGAAAACTTATATAAGAAAGTCCACATTTTCTGATTTTTATGTCACCAGTTCATTCTGTACTTTTACAAGTTGCTAAAAACAATCTAACAGTGGATGGATGATGTAATTTCAAACAACATAGGTAATAGTTGTGGCATTGGGGAGTATTAGTTCCACAGAATAAACATGTATTATTTTTCAGTCTGTTGATTTTTTTGCTGTATTTTTTTGTAATATAGTATTTTGGAACTGAAAACAATTATTGGCCCCAGACTAGAAGAACATACACAGTCCTCCTCCCCAACCTTTATTGACATTTTTTCTAACAAATGTATAATGAAAATAAATATAAAAATTATTTCTTTACTTTGCATGTCCTATTTCTGCCTCTTATTTACCAAAACTTGGTTAGAGAGAAAATTTTTACATAAAATGGCATTGGGATTCTGGGTTCTGATTTACTTTTTTACTCTAATTTTACTAGAAAAAATGCTGGTGGTCATAATATAATTTTTGGTTGACAAAGATAAGCACCAAAGTCAAGGGTTTTTCATAATCGGAAATCCAAATCCAAAGAGAAAAGTGTTTAATATGTTCTGGTGAGAAATAGAAAATATTTAATTGTTTGGTCAAAAAAAGTCCTGGTTCTTACAATACTATCTGCAGCCAAATTCTTAAAACAGGAAAATGGCTTCAAATCCTTTTTTTCTCCCTCAGTATATACCATCCTGACAAGGCTTTGATATCATTGATAGAAACAGTATTTTTATACAGAGGCCATAGTTACATTGAATCCTCAGTAGAATGATTTCTGAATTGGTACCATCGTGCCCTTTGACTTCGGATGAAAACTTGGGCTAGAAAAACAAAACCCTGATTGTCTAACATAAAAGTAACATGTAACACAGAAATAGTATAAGACAGCCTGACTGAACCTCCACTGCTAGTAGGAATGGTATTTTAAGCCACAGTGCATGTGCATGTATAAGTAATAGTCATATATAATATTCTCATATATTATATACTTATTACATACGTGCACAGTAGTTTCTAAGACAGCTACAAATTTAAACATGCATCAACTATCTAAAAACATAGAAATAGGTAAGCCTATTAAGTAGAATTTTCTTAAATTATATTTGAACAATCAACAGGAAAAGTAATCATGTAAAGTACCGCTCTGTTCTTGTATATATCTACAATAAAACTCTATAAACAGTTGTCTCCAAAACATACCCGAATAAAATTAAAAAAAGATAACACCCAGTGTCCTATATTTGTATATTTATGGTCATTTCAAAACAAACAAACGAACAAACAAAAGAGCCCCACTCAGGTGCATATTTACATTCTTCAAACTGTAGCGGTGAAAAATAATTCTATTAAGTGCAGGACATTCCTAATGTTGCAGTAGTGACATTTTCCTTAAGTCTTCGTGAACACATTGCTTTGCCTTAATGGTGATGCATTCCATACCTATGAGACAGTTCTCTCTTCTCCTTCATTTGCAGACAGTGGCACAGTCAGGATTAAAGAGCTCCTTGTATAACGGAGGAAACAATGTATTCACTATGTCTGGATGAGATTGCTTAAATACCTGCAGCTTCTCCCCGTGCAAGTTGCACACGGCCGTGATGGTTGGTATCTTGGCTATTAACTGCACAATGGAGAGACAGGGAGGGAGACAAAGAGGAAAGTCATTAGTGCTCGGTCTTCGGAATCGGTGTGTTCTCTGGTCCCGGATGAAGGTAAATGGCTTTGGAAAAAGATGTTCAGAGTAAAAGCAGGCTCACTTTCAGCTTCTCTGTAGAACAAAACAGCCCCACCCCAACTTCTGAAGGAAAAATCAAGAGAAAGAAAGAAAGAAAGAAAGCGGGGCCTAGCTTCCTGATTTAGTGTTCTTAAGTAAAGTAATACAGGAGGTTGTCTAGTTTAATATTTACGAGTGGGTGCTCTTCAGACAGGCTGCCTCAGTCAGAATTTTGCCTCTAAAATAGCTTAATTACAGCATGGCTGTGACACTTTCTGTCTCAGTTTTCTTATTTGTAAAATGGGCTTTCTAATAGTATCAAGTTAATGGGGTTGTGTTGACTAAGTAACAATTGGTAGAAAAGTGTTAAGAGCACTACAGGTGGGGAGCATAACTGTTAGCTAATATTATGACCCATAATTTCCTGCAGATTTGTATGACATGATTATTAGGTTTTAGCTTTGGAAGCTGATAATGTTCAGAAAGTAGAACCAACTGTTTGAGGTCCATAATTATCTGTTTTGCTTGGCACTCAGATTCACTAAAATTGCCAGTATTTCCCAACATCTTTTCCAATATAGGCATGAGGTGAAAACTGTGCTTAATAAGGAAGGAATTTTGGAGGTCCCTGACACTTTGCTTCCTTACTGAAGCCTTTTAACAATGAGTGAGAGAATACACACTTTATAAACACTAGTTTTAGATATGTATGTCTCAAATAAGGTGTAAGCTTTTTAGTTAATAACCAGAAGACAATGTTTTATAATAATTTTAAAGGTTCACCGTTTGCTAAATGTTATATAGTTCATAAGAGATGAACAATTCCAGCTCTTAAGGTATTTATAATTTTAGGAGCATCTCAAATCCGTAGTGTCAAAATTAGCTTTAACAAATGTCCTTGTGACCACATTACTGTGAGGAAGGAGATATGTTCTCACTGAGAACAATGTGAAGGGAGATAAGCATATAGTTCATCCAGCATGTAGTTGCTATATCGTACACTGAAGAATGTTGATGTTGTAATACAATGAAATAAAACCCATCTCATCACCCATTAAGCCCAGCACTCTCTCTACTCCTGTTCAGTAATGAGAATCCATTTCAGCTTTTGCAGTAAAAGAGGAAATAGACAATTACATTGTGGTTTTTCAAAATCAGAAATTTCCATTCTTTCATTAGCTTTCCTTTTAACAGCTAACGACTGTAACTATACTCCGAGCACTTTAAATATAGCATCAGGATTAGAGTTGTTGACACACACTAAAGGAATCTAGAATACGTAAAGGCCTTTGAGGGGTCAGGCTTTTCAACCTATCCATCTCCACTACTATTGAAAGAGGGAGAAAATGAAAGAATGTAGAATATGACTATAGAATGGACGTTAAATTTTATATCAGGAATCAAGACTTTCTCTCCAACATTATGAATAAAATTTTTTTCATTCATGATACGCCATGATTAATTGTGTGTTTACTATGTAGCATGGCCTCAGCTAGACACCAGAATGCACAAAACAGTTATGGTTCTTGTTTACAGTCTATGTGTGAAGACAGATGGGAATAAAGCTCCCACACTGTCAAAAGCAGACAGAAAAACTGTGCTGAGAGCCACAGAATGGTGGCTCAAGAGGGGTAGCTGATAGGACATCCTGACTTCTTGTGGCAGGCTGGAGAGGATTTCTTGAAGAGATGACAGTGACTCTGATCTCCAAAGGAAGAGCGGACACTAACTAGGCTCTGGGGGAGCCGAGATATGATATGCCCAAGATCACAGGCTAAGGCTCCGTGGTGCTCGGTGCACTGAAGAAGTGAAGGCAGTGCAGGGTCTGTGCAGCAGTGGTGTGTTTGGGGGTAATGACAGAGAGATGCACATGGCCAGATTATGAGAGCCTTTGTGGTCCATATTATGGTCCTTGACAAAGTTCTAAGCAAACAAACACAATCAGAACCTCATTCCAAAAGATTTACCTTGAATCTAGGATGAAAAAGTGTCTTTTTTATATCTTCATAGGCAAAGAGTGTGTGAGTGTCCACTTAACCAGAGTCCCTCGGGAAATTATTCAAGATTTCTTAACAAGTTGAATCACAGAACATGGCAATAATCTAGTAAGGCTTCTTGTACATTATATTTCTCCCTGACATAGCTATTGAATGCAGACAGGCTTTGAAAGCTTTCTATAATCACCTGCCCTTGAACTGGTTATGTGCAAAGCTCCTGAAACTTCCAGATGCAGCCCTAATGACCATCCATCTTTAGTGCTTCCTGAAAATGCAGATTACAGGAACCTACTCCTAGGGGTTTAGTCTCACAGAGTCTGAGTGGAGCTCAGATGCCATGTTTGAAACAAACATCCCTAGCAAACACTGATGTTTTCGGTCCCTGTGATAGACTTTGGAAAACACTGCTGAAGAGGTTCAAATCTTATAAATTTATAACCAGATTTTAAAATTGAAAGGTAAACTCTGTATTATACTTGAAAACATCCTGTTAGCTGAATGTCAAGTTAGCTGTGTTTCAGGAATCAGACAAGGACATTATTATATCCAGAGAGAAGCCTGTACTATCCTACCTTCTACAATATGAGGAGGGCTAGGCAATGACATTCCTGAGTCCCCTGTGGCACACAAACACTGTACAGGGAAGATTGTTCTAAAGTAGAGAACATGGGGATGGGGGTATAGCTCAGTGGTACCATGTCTGCCTGGCAAGTGCAAGGTCCTGAGCTCGATTTCCGGTACTGGAAGAAG